TTTTTGAGAGGGAGTCTTGCTCTGTCGCCCAGGGTGGAGTGTAGTGGCGTGACCTCGGCTCACTGCAACCTCCGCCTCCTGAGTTCAAGCGATTCTCCTACCTCAGCCTCCCGAGTAGCTGGGATTACAGGTGCCCGCCAACACACCCGGCTAATTTTTGTATTTTAGTAGAGACAGGATTTCACTATGTAGGTCAAGCTGGTCTCAAATTCCTGACCTCAAATGATCTGCCCGCCTCAGCCTCCCAAAGTGCTGGGATTACAGGCGTGAGCCACTGCGCCCCGCCAATCACTTCTTTATCAGCTGTACTTCTTTCCTACCTTTACTGTAATACTTATGATCTTGCCTGGGTCATGAGTTTTCTTCTAGTTTGTTCAGCTATAGATGTCTTTTATGTTGGAGCAAAACTAGGTCCAAGGTAGGAATGTCATTATTAGATGTAAAACATTAGCTGATTTAACCAATTTATGTTAGTGCAACTTTGAAAACCTTCGTTAACAGTATAAAGCTAGGTTTCCTAAAAATAGAAATTTTGTCCTTGGCAGCTGTTATGTAAGTCATGACCTTTGTCTTGTTCATAAGAAAGAAATTTTACAGCTGTCAGATTTTCATTTTAGGAGAAACAATGTTGGAAATTAATTTGGCTTCTTCTCCATTTGGCAAGGTATGAACCTTATAACACTTGACTAGACACTCTACTTGTTATTTTTCTTTTTTCTCACTTTACTGAAGCTGCAATATCACTAAGCGCACTTTCATTCTTTTTACAGTGTTATTTTTCTGATTTTCTTTAAATTAAAAATCTGTTGCTTCCCCTTCTCTGTCCTGTCTCCATTCTTCTGATCCCCTACACAAATACACGTGGTTCATTTAAAAAATAGCAACCATCTTGGTAAAGCTGTCTTTTCCATTGTGTCCCGCAAGTTCTTTTAGGTGTAACATCATAAGAAATCACAAACTTGTATTCAACTCTTTTCAGTTTTAGGCAAATTCCATTTTTAGGAATAATAGTTAAGCAGCCATAAGACCACAGGTTAATATTGAGTGCTCTCTCTTACTTTACCAATCCCAACAATGTTTAACTCTTATTTATTAGTTTTTGAGTGTTTTATGTAAAAATTGTGTATGAAGTTAAATATTCTAAGTTCTTCTGTATGGCTTTACTACATCTAATGTAAATTTACTCCATTGGAATTCTTTGGTTTTTGGCAGGGATAGGGATTATTCTATAATCTGGGTGAGAAAGATTAGGAAATGAACTGAAAGTAATTGGAAGAGGAGGCACAAGTAAACCATCAGAAACGCTTTTGACCATAAGAAGGGGAAATTAAGGGACAGAACGGAAGAAGCATTGTGCTCCTATCAGCAATCTGAGGGTTAACTCTACCTGCTTAAAAGCAAGAAATATTTTTAATATTTCTTCTCTCCACTCTGTACTAATTTTATCTGAAAAATTGCTGCTAAAATTTAGGAACCATTTTGAAAGCAATGGTAGTAATCAAAGGTATAATCCTCATGCTATATAATGTTTTAGATTATCAAACTGCTTTACTATGTGGAGCTTTTTCTGCCCATTACTGAGGGTTAGACGGAGAACATTGTTCCCATCTTAGAGGTGAGGAATGTGCAGATGGCAAGAATAGTAAATGGCTGGCTCCAAGTTACACAGCAAGTCAATCAATCAGAGACTAAAATATTTATTACCGGTAGACTGCTAAATTTCTGCATCATGAACAATGACTTGGAGAGGATGTTGCTGAGTAGAAATTTTGTCACACCTGATCTGAGAATATAAAATTTGTTCATTTGCAAAAAACATGCTTCTGAAGTATTTTGTTTCCATTATTTATTTAGCCAGCTAGTTTCTTATGTGTACTAAAGAAGGTCTCCCAAATTACCTAAATTCCACAATAGGGCTTAGATTTATGAAGTTTTATATTTTTTTCCTCCTTATAAAAAGCTCTTTTTATAAAAAATATCCCTGTAGTACTAAAACAGGGAGAAATCTCCTAAATAATATATTTTTTAATATTACTTTTTTTAAAAACTAGGGTAAGCACCTCACAATCAAAATTTAATGTATTTGTTATCTTGAAATGCAGGGGTTTTTGAAGGAAATGTGGTAGGTAAACAATTTAGTTCCCAATTCCTGATCGTAAAAATGCAAAATTGGGCCGGGTGTGGTGGCTCACGCCTGTAATCCCAGCACTTTGGGAGACAAAGGCAGGTGGATCACGAGGTCAGGAGTTCAAGACCAGCCTGGCCAAGATGGTGAAACCCCCCCATCTCTACTAAAAACACAAAAATTAGCCAGACATGGTGACGGATACCTGTAATCCCAGCTACTTGGGAGGCTGAGGCACAGAATTGCTTGAACCCGGGAGGCGGAGGTTGCAGTGAGCCAAGATTGTGCCACTGGACTCCAACCTGAGTGACAGAGTGAGACTCCAACTCAAAAAAAGAAAAAAAGCCAAATTGTTGGTATCTCTAAGACAGAGCAAGACTCCCTCTCTAAGAGATAGTAGTGTCTCCCACTTCATTGAATTCGTTTTGTTTGCTTTGCTTTGATTCTTGCCACATAAAATCTGTGGGTCAAAGGCTAACCCAGAGATTTGCTCAGAGAGTTAAGAAAAATAATAAGATGTATTTGTAAATTTTTAAATAATGAAAAATGAGATGTATTTGTAAATTTTAAAATAACCTC